CCCATGTGGTCCGACTCTCGTAAACGACCACTTCTCGTAAGCGACTGTAGTATGCATCGACGTTACAACATTTGTATCGCTAATTGTATACAACTTACCCGTAGTTAGTAGGGGAGACTGGTCGTGAGAGCCGGCAGGCTTAAAAAATAAGAGCACAGCGGTGCTGCAGTTTATGTTGGAGGCTCCTGGTGCACAATCCTTTGTTTACCGTTCACAAATAGTGACGGAATGAATGAATGCGACGTTTTTATTGGTCAATAAGATCAAAATGATAGGAATGCTATTGGTTGTGCACCGTAAGGTCCACAAAAACATGACAAAAAAAAGGTCCACTTCCGGTTGGCGTCCTTCGCTCAAAAAGTAGTTTTCGGTTTCCCTTCATGCCGTTTTATTGTTTTATGAGTCAAATGAGTCTATGAATTATGAGTCAAGTCATGAGTCAGATCAGCATTAGCCTGCATAACATGCGCTTTATTAGCCATGCGAGGCGAACGTTGAGCGAAGCGCGAGACGAAGGGAGGAGAAAAATTAATAAGTGCTTCATTTTTTGCTCCCCTCCTCCCGCGCTTCGCGCAAAATGCCGCGTTGGCCTCGCGTGGCTCATGAAGCGTCTGTCCTGCAGGCTAGATCAGCATTGAATAGTGAGCCTCTCTTTGGCTTCCTGCGGAGGTCGTTTTCGTCGCGCGTTTTCCATCACTTCGGCGATTTCGTCATAAATACGTGTCTATAGTTATTAGGCAGTGTTAAACACTGTCTATAGTTCCTAATTCGAAAGTAACGAGGGCCGTTCTACTTTCGAAACTTTACGATAACTGACCATAACTCATAGTAGATTTTACTTTGTAATTTCAGATGTCAATGAGTTGTTTACCATAGTGACTATCGCATGATGAGGCACATATTGCTGGTTTTCAGCTACCAGAAAACGCGGCCATACTGCTGGAAAAAGCAATAATTTTTTTGCAAAATTTGCATGAAGAGAGTGTTCAGTTTCCAACCTAGGTGAAATTATTAGGCAGGGTTAAACACTGACTCGATAACGGTTAGCATTTAGAGATTCTTTTTTTGTTTAAAAGACTCATTGACCCATCATGCCGTGCCATTAGGACTCGAAATAAACGTTTATGTAAAAGTTTTATTATTGCTAATATTACCTTTTATCCCATGCCAATTGCCTGGGTTTTGCAAATGATGCTTTAGGGTGCTAGAGGCAAACTCGTCTTGAGATTGAAATTTACGTTGACAAAATGGATATGAACAAGATATATCACCTGAAACATGGGTATAAACAGTTGCATTAGATTCTTATTGACAGTACATGTAAAAGTTTTATGATTGGTGATTATTACCTGTCATTTTCTTATGCCTCTTGCCTGCGTTTTTCACGTGATGCTTTAGGTCCTTATCGGTAGTAAACCGCTTCGGGCAAACCGTACACGCAAAAGGTTTCGATTGCGAATACTTAACACTATGTACGGCTCTTTGATGATCATCATTTCCATTATCGGTGGTAAACTGCTTCGAGCAAAATGAACACTGAAAAGATTTCAAAAGTGAATCCATATCTAGCTCACTGCTCAATGATAACTTGAGAACGACGCTTCTCGAGTAAAAGCCACAGAGCGTCTACGAAGCTAAACTGTCCTCGTTCGTTTTATTTGTATTTCGCACGTGCGTGCGCTTAAAGTGGCTTGAAAGAGGGAAATTCCCGACGTCATTAACAATGGTTATACAGAGTATAGCTCACGAAGTTATCCTGGCTGAAAAAATGCCATTTTTTGGCGAATACTGGTAGAGGGTAATAATTGTACTAAAAACGACTAAATAACCCACTGTTGTATTTTAAATTGGAGTTTATTTTTGCTGGAAGCTGACGGGACAAGAACAAAAGCTTTCACCTCGGTTGGAAACTGAACACTCTCTTCATGCAAATTTTGCAAAAAAATTATTGATTTTTCCAGCAGTATGGCTGCGTTTTCTGGTAGCTGAAAACCAGCAATATACTTCATCATGCGATAGTCACTATGGTACTAACAACTCATCGACATCTGAAATTAAAAAGTAAAATCTACTATGAGTTATGGTCAGTTACCGTAAAGTTTCGAAAGTAACGGCCAGCGTTACTTTCGAATTTGGTATCTTCCGCTATTGCTACTTTCGGAGGCTCGCTAGTTTCAGGGAGTTATGAGTTATGGTCAGCTACCGTAAAGTTTCGAAAGTAACGGCCTTCGTTACTTTCGAATTTGGCTTTCTTCCGCTATTGCTACTTTCGGAGGCTCGCTAGTTTGAGGTGGTCGTTACTTTCGGATGGCTAAAACGTGTACTCCAAAAAATGCGAAAGGAATACTTTTTGAAAAAAGGTAATGTTATCCTGTACTTTAAGAGTTATAAGTAGGAATATTAATAAACCAAGGATCAGTGAGGCATTTGTTCATTATCAGGAATCTATCATACCAGTTATTTTTTTAAAAAGGGGAAATTAGTTTTGAGGTCTCTACTT